TTCACAGTGTTTATTTAATAAAGGCAAATAGGACCTTTGCTTTAGCACTGCTTCTCAGTGAAGTAAATCAACGACGATCTTGATATAACATTTGCAGATCCGGTTTTCGCGGAAACGTCCCGTTCAAATTTGGACCGGGAAGAAAGGGTGATTTTATAGACTAATGAGAAGAAAATCAGGGATGGCTAAAAAGTGTGATATCTTGAAAGAAATAAAACTAGGTCTACCTGCATGAGGAGACCATCTCTCTCGTGGGACCTAGGTTGAGACTATCCCCTAAGAGGGTTGGAGTTAGGACCAGTTGTAGATGTTATGGTGTCTGTGTGGCGGTAACATAGCCTAGTATGGAATGCAGGAAATCACTGGTGACAGTGTAGAAGACTTTCCAAACTGACACCACTGTGAGAGAAAGTCGCGTGTGTGAAAGGTTAAGATGCAATTATGAACGGCCAATCCCGGTGTCCCTGGGCCCGAAAACGTGAGTTGTACCGACATTTGAAGCACAACCAGGAGGATGGACACGCAAAACGGAGCCACAGCAGGAACACCAGAGATGACCCAGGCAAGACAACATCACATACTGTCAGGGACGATAAGCCACTACTGGCACAAAAACCACCTACGCCACTGACCTTGGCACAAATTAAACCGCTCCATAATTATAGCCGACGCTGCCTTCAGCAGGGTTGAACGTGGACAAATGTTCTGTTTTTCCCCCACTTAACAAAGGAACATGGGCACATGTATGTCAAGAATGACTGACAGTGCGAGAGACAGCACAGAGTGCAGACTGACGTGAACTAATCCCACAGAATGAAATGTAACGTGATCTATAAGCACGATATGGCCTATATTAGAGAAACAATAATAAGATTATTATCCCGTGTACCGTTTATACTTTACACAGATCTAGAAGATGATGCCTCCCTATCATTCTATCCTGTGCACTTTCGATAACCTGATGGAATCCAGTGCAACAGCTCTAGATTCCATCACCATTCACTGTTGGTTTCCTTTTGGATATCATCGCTTACACTGTCTACCCATTTTGTTATTCTATTTTATCTCAGAAGGTGTTCAATCTAAGTCCCTTGTGTGTGTGTGAGTCTTGAGTTTGTGTATTTTTTAATGTATATCTGAAGATATATCCTCGTTTTTGTATTATCACTTTACATTCATACTATGTATGAACATACGTTTGATATATAAAATAAAATTCAGGTGTGAAAACGAGCGTTTGAAAAAGCCAAAATGTAAGATGGATCTGCATGCCCACTTTGCAAGCCTTTAGAAATAAATAACGTTCATTCGTTCAATATGTCACCATCTTCGCTCTCTTTTAACTCAGCCTAGCACCTCTAGCTCATCTGATCAGTATTTGTTTACTTAGTCCCTCTATTACCCATTTCAGCGCCAGTGTGGTTAATCTCTTCCTGTTTATTCTCAGTGCATGTCAATATAGTACTATCTTCTCCGTCTTATGACTGCTGATACAAGTTTTAAAAGGTTTGGTATTAAATCAAGCTCTGACCATTTTGCTTGAAATAGGCCTCCCATTCCAAGAGACATTTTGCAACTCAGGATGTCATCATAATGCCTACTCCTCCCATGTTATTCCGTTTTATCCCCCTTTGCTTTAAGGGTAAGCCCATTAACATATATTTTTTTAAATCTGCCCCTGGTCACTTAACTTCACTTTAACCCTAAAATATGTAGCTGGTAGGTCGGTAGTTGTACCCCACCAGGATAGCACACAAGCAATAAACACCCCGTGACACAAAGTACCACCATGCGGATGAGGATCACCCGTGGAGAGGTCCCAGAAACCCCTTTTAGCCATTAGGTCATATCTATGGCTAGGCCATAATAGGATATATTCAGGGCCCCCGGCAGAAGCCAGGGCGGGGCTTCTAGCAGGTATTTCATTATTAATTAGATCCATAAATGGTATGCCAGGAATACAGATTGGTGGGCATATTGTTAACAGCCTGCGATATGCTGACGATATAGTTTTGATCAGTGAAAATGAAACACAACTGCAAGAAATGATAGATATAAATGTAATGGAAAATGAAACACAACTGCAAGAAATGATAGATATAAATGTAATGTAAAGTGAAAACATGGGCTTATTTTGAACAGCAGAAAAATTGAAGCAACTGTCATTACACAGAAAACCGGCCCTTCAAAATGCAACATCAAAGTAAATGGGACAAAACTCAAGCAAGTTTATAAGTTGAAGTTTTTGGGTACCCTGATAACATCAGATGGAAGATGTATTAAAGAAGTTACTGGAGTACCTCGTGACAGTACGACAGCTGGAGGGGAGGAGAGGGCGACAGAGAGAACAGATGCTGGACAGTTTGATATCATGGCATGGAGGACCATCTGTATCAGAGCTAATTGAAAGTACACGAGACAGAATGTTGTGAATGGATATGACTGCCAACGCCACCTGGCATGGACTTTAAAAAGAAGAATCTCTTCATTTCTTCTGCTGTCTGGGTGAATTGTTGCCTGCCCCACAGTCCTAACATTTAAAAACCTATTCTAGTGATTATTTTTGAGCCAAGTAGTGTGCATGTCAGGCCACTGACTTCTACAGAGAGGCTCGGTAAAACATGCAACAGTGCACCACACACCACTTGATTCACATGTTTACCGGAATGGCTTCCTTTTCTGCAAGTTTCTGTAGCAATTGATTTTTGTACAAAGTAAAGGAGAAGCCAACCCTCCTCCTTTCTTATCCTGGCTTGGGACCAGCTTTGACAGTCCTAGTACAGGTAATTTCAGTTGTCTAATTCCCATATTACCCAGTTCTCTCTACAATCCATATAACATAATTCTCAAATTAATTAGTCCACTAATTTCATATTACCCCCTCTAACAAATGAATATTAATCAATTCTCAAATGACAAATTTATTTCTTTAAAGATCATCCAAGTTCCCCAAAGCCACTTTATTCAGTTTTCTAATCCACAAATTACTTAGTTATCTAAATCCCTACAACCTAATTCTCTAAAATTCCACATTACTTAGTTCTCTAAAGACCATCGTCTTCAGTTGTATTCCCACATTACTTGGTTCTTTCAACAAACACCAACATAATCTAAATTCAGATCATTTCTCTGAAACCAGTTTTAATTAGTTTATATGCTGTGGTATCTAAACCTTCAGACTCAAATTAATTTAAGCAAATCCTTAATAATCACCTTTACCACATGCTTACTATTGGGGATAAACGTAAAAAAAAACTTTTAAGCGCTAGACTGGGGCACCAGAAACCCACAACATAGAATACTCAGCTAAGGAATACTACAACACCCCCCCCCCCTTCCCCCCATTTTAGTTTGTCTGTTTGTCTGTCAATAGTGCTAAGAACTTTAGTAGAACACTGGCTAGAACGCTCGCCTGTCAGCCTAAGTAGGTTCAAATTATCAAAGGTGGACTTTTCCCCCAGATAAAAATAGGTGCCAAGAAATACTACCGAAAGTAAAGGCAACCAGTGTGATATTCCCTATATCACTCACCGAGGCCAATGGGTAAAAAAAATATCTGACCTGAACCAAATGCTCTATTCACCTAAAAGCCCGGAAAAGAGATGTCTAATTTTATTATCACTACTTTCTCATGTGGGTTCCGGGACTCCATTTTGAGGAAACAGGAACAGACCCATTGACCTCCTAACTAGCATGTTGTAAAGGATGAATAATTAGGGATGTTTCCTTCAGAGTGCATCTGCCTAAGAGGGGAGAAACCAACAGCCTGCGTACAAATATGTCAGATCTATAAAAATGGATGATCATGCAAAACTCAAGTTCAGGAACTAAAGTCCAGAAGCAGACTAACAACAATAACTTTCCATCCGAGGTTACAGCAGGTGAATACTATTAAGAAGAGGATTATCAATTCTGCAGCTGCACAGTTAAAACCAGCCATGATGGTAAAGCCACCAACGACCACAGGTAAACACAAATCCCCAAACAAGCTGATCCTACCACAGGGTTCCAAGTGTCTGCAGATGTGACACACTCTGGATGACAGCTGCAGAGACTAGACCAACGATCTAAAGCTCTTGTGTCCCGCTGGTGTAATCTTCCCCAACTTAATGTTAAGCCATAAAGTGATCGTAGAAATTGAGTCATTTAAAGGGCTAACCTTGTTTGAAAATCTGATGTAGTGGCATATTCGGAACTAAGCAGTCACACTCACTATAGATCCCTGGGACTAACAAAACTTTTTAAAATCAGCACCCAACATGTGCAAAAATCTGGACATTGTCTAGGCTGACAAAAATTGGGTGATAATTTTTAGATTATAAATATAGTAGACTAGACTTAAATGTGTGTATCCCAAGTTTAGACTCAATCCTGTGTGGGCTACTACATCGTAGCTCTCCCCACCCTGCAATAAATAAACGATTGGTTGCATGTTCCTTTGCATGCCATTTTTTTTAAAGGCGCTGTGTGGGTTTAAAAGGCATATTACAATTCAGTAGTTTGCTATTGCCTTCACAATATGATAGTCATAATGTTTTGTCACAAATTCCATTTGCACATGCGCAAAAAGGTCTGCCAATGGTTACAGCTACTAAAAACATTTGAGGGTGAGTGGTAAACTAGGTTTACTTGTAGAAATTATGACCTCATTTTTTTCTGTTAGTCACAGTGGTCACCAGCGGCTGGGTCACAAGGTCAAAAACGAGTCAAGGTAAAAAATTGTATTTAACCTCAGGAAGTTGAATCTGTTGCATTCGTTTTTACTGATTTCTGTGTTTCATCAATGCATACAATTTTTTTTATGTCAGAAAATGGCACACTGCTATAAATTTTTGTGTTAACTGTTTAAAAAAATATAAAAACTTTGGGTATTTTTGGGAAAACCTGAAATTCCAAAACTAGGAGTCCTTGGCACTTTTTGTTTTCTAGGTCACCACGGCAAAAGGAGGCTAATGATTTCTCATGGTTTTTGCAGGCAACACAAAACAAAGTTTCCTTACCTTAACACAAAAGGGGCAGGTGGTTTTACTGAAAACAACCACATTGTGGGATTTGATGATCTGCTCCACTTCTTTCTGGACATCTGCACTCACAGGCGGCATGGCCTCCTGTTTGTCTGTGTGGTTTTTGTTTGAAGTGTCTTTACTTGTCGATGCCTGGCTGCGGGCACCGTCTGAAATGGAAGAAACTGTGCTTCCTTTCGTTGTCGGTGCTATATCTGATGATGTCTTTTTATGGTTAGGTCCTGCATCCTTTGTCTGTGGGAAAACAAAAGGAATAATAATTTGATAAGTAGGTGGGAAAAGTCACGCAGCAGTAATTGCTGTTAAAATATGGAAAATAGGGAGACAATGGCCACCAATGAAGAACTAATAACAATGGTAGGAACAGTACCGGTAAGTGACTTCATAAAACATCAAAAAATGAAATAGTTTATCTAGGAACGGAACAAAATCAGCCAGCAGTTACAGTGTACTAGATGAACAAACAAACTTTATTTTCAAAGGGTCACGAATTGGGCACATTGGCTCATCTTACATTAGGCCCTTTCAAACAGTAATTGTATTTTATCAATAAAGTATGTTATTTTCATAAAACAACAAGCACAATATAAATGTCAAGGATAAAACACTAAACACATTTACTCACACACATACATAAAACTCACATACATACATACGCATATATATATATATATATATATATATATATATATATATATATATATATATATATATATATATATATATATATATATATATATATACAGAAAGGCAGGCATACATACATACAAGCACACTACACACCCACTCATTCATTCGGATATATACCCTCTATATATATACCCACACATATACTCAATACATAGACATAAATAAACATGTATATACACACATGATCATACACAAACAAATAAATAATCATGCACATTCAAACATACACAGGCAAACGTAATCTTGCATACACACACATATATGTGTATGTGTGTGTGTGTGCGCGTGTATAAATATTTATATATACACACACACCCTCACACATAATCAAACATACACATATAGATGCACTCACACATACATGCACACTTATGCATACACGCACTAATACTTATACCCACAAGTATATGATAATTTAGTTACATCCATTTCTTGATTTTGTCATTAAAGTTCTTACCCCCCCCCCCCCCCAAGGGAGGAAAAACAGGGATAATATACTGCCAAATCCATTTGCCAAACCAGTCAGGTGGGACCAACCAGTCATGGTACCTTAACCCATTCACCCTATGACAAAGTGTCACTCGAGATACCCTTAAATCACTTTCTGCAATCATGCATTGTGTAAATTATTTGTCCCTGTTTTGCATTTCCAGTTTCTAAAAGGCACTACCTGAAACACTATTCTCTATCTCCACTACTGAACAGTTATCTTTGTCCTGTAGTGCCATTATATGCCACATAGGGCTCATGGTCTATTCCTCCATTTCATTCTACCTGGTGCAATCCATTCGCTATCATGTATGGAATCCAGTACAGCAGCTTTAGCCTCACTCATCACTGTTCATTTTAGAGTTTCTTATGGACATCGTCGTCGTCTTCTCTCTACTCCTGGAAATCCTGGAATGCCTCGCAGCGTCAGGGAAAGAAGAGATCTCCGAAACAGGCCGTTCTGTTTGCTTTGTATAAAGTACTTCCTATGTCTCTGATATTTCTGTGGCCCATCTTCGGTATGGCAATCCCTTTATTTCCCATTTAGCAATTATCTGCATGTTTCTTCTCAGGATGCACAAAATATAGCGATACCTTCCTTATCTTATTATAGCAGCTGTTACCAGTAATTGTCCAGATATTCCTCTTATTTCTTCACCCCTCTTGAATTCAGCAAAGCAGGTTTATTGTCACAATGACTTGAAAAGCTATGAAGGTGTGCCCCAGTGACCTGATTAAAAGCTATGTCAGCCATAATGTGACTCAGACAGGGCCTCTTAAGTTGGACTGGCAGGTGCCAAGCCTGCCTTCTCACAGGTAGGACAGAGACAAATCAATGAACAGGACCAAATAAGCCCAGGCTTCATTTCAAAGGTAGAAAACCTACACACACACACACACAAAAAGTCAATTTCTATAGAATGTTTAATCTAGTGCAGTGACTGGATCTTCACCCACTGGCCCAAAGGTCTTGGATTCAAATCTGAATTAAGGTAATTTTTATACAATGATCTGGGCTCCCAGGTCGACCAAGCCTAAAATGGGTACCAGCAGATGTCATAGGAAGCAAAGGCGGCTGGCATGGTTTTGACCAAATCACTAAACAAGTGTTGATTTTTCTTTTAAAATATGGCTCTTGCACTAAACGCCCAATGCAGTAATGGCACAAAAAGGGATCTTTCCTTGGGGGGGGGGGGGGGGGGGGGGGGGGGTTAAAAAAAAGTACGATTTAGATATACATGCAACTGGATCCTTGCCAGCGCTACTCAATTCATGACAGCTATGAAGAGATATTTAACCAAGACATAAATGCTATGGAAAGCGATTATAAAAGTGCACGGCCCTTGGGCTGCTTCTGAAGTCATCTATCTTGATTTACCAGACACATATGTCGCTCGCTTCAGTGCTACATGTGTTTAATGGCAGGTGACCCTGTCACCTGTCAAATATTTGGTTTTCTGTGACTTTAATGAACTTACATAACTTATGAATATGCCATAACAGGTTTCTAATGTATTAATCTTCTTACTTTTGTCTCCCAAAGAAGACAAAACCCCCAATCCAATCATAAAAAGTTTCTACTGTATTAATCTTCTCACTTTTGTCCCCTAATGAAGACAAACCTTCCAATCCAATCATAACAAGTTTATACTGTATTAATCTTTGTACTTTTGTCTCCCAATGAAGAGAAACCCCCAATTCAATCATAACAGGTTTATACTGTATTAATTCTCTTACTTTTGTCTCCACGATGAAGACAAAACTCCCCAGATGCAATCATGTGTTCAAGGCTACCCAATTTATTAATTGATTAAACGTTCTCAACATATATAGGGCAGGTCCACTAATGTTCGGATCCTATCTTCAGTCTCTTCCTCAGCGTATGGCGACTGAGACTGATAACCTCAGGTTTGTGTTGGTTTTACTATTCTCATTTGGTTACCAATATAGTGTTCACACTATACACACAAACATATGACATAATGCGAATATCACAACTAAAGTGAAGTAAAGGATTCTTTTCAAGCCTTTGGCACATCATGCATACAGTATTCAACATATTCTTGTACAGCAATGATGGGTGATGAGGCCCAAACCATGCCAACCAATTTTCCCACAACATTAGATGGTATCCATTTTAAGGTGAATCGATCTCGGGGCCAAGATAATTTTTGCCTTATAAGCACTTAAGAAGCAAAGAATGCTTTCCATACTTTATCAGAGCTTTGATCATCACAGGGGCAAATTAAAGACTCAGTCTCTCACTACAGTTAGTGAAGTTAGAACATATTCAGCCGCAAGCGCACTGATAAAAATAAACTAGGCATTTCCAAAATGCAAAGGATATCACGGATGTACAGACAAAACATAAGGCATTTTTTTTAAACATCAAAACTATAATTTAAAAAGTCTGCATGTCCTTTACAGGTAGTTTTGGTTGTTGCAGTCTTTCTGGGCTCTGGATACCACTGTCAGAACCAATGCAAAGTGGTCTGCTGAAAACTCGCCTGCAGCTAGGATCAAACCCGCCACTACGAAGCGCACTTGCAAGACCTCAGCCACAGAAGCCAGAAATTAGCTACTTATATTATGATAGATATCAAAATTTAGGGACCTTTTATGAGAAGAAATAAAAACTTGAAAAAGATTAGATCCATCCTTGGTACTAATGTTCATCTGAGATGATGAAGAACAACTGGCTAGAATATCTGCAAAGCATATAAGAATGATAATCTTGTTTCAAGTCCATTTTTTTTTAGCCAATATCTGAGATTGGTGCGCAATTCTTACACACATTCAAACATCTTGTAACTGACTGAGACTAAGGACATATTTTTAAAAAACGTAAGAAGAGAATAAAAGAGAGACCACAGAAGCACAATATTACATTACACAAGGTAGGCAACTGGCACAAGACAGGAAACTACATTTAACTCCTCTCTGCGAAGTTGTACGGCATGAGCAGTTTAACAAAACAAAAAAAGAAATATCCTGATTTCATTTTCATCAGCCATAATTATGCCCATTTTTTTTTTTTAATTTTATTTTGATAACGTGCAGTTTTCAGTGTATGTTCTGGCACTGGTTTCATAAGAGTGTTTGCTGTCTGTTAATGTGGCTGAAATATTTCAAACTTATCTTTTTTTATTTCTATCAACAACTTTGTTCATTTCAAAACCACTGTATATACCCCCCCCCCCCACACCCTTTTTCATTATATGTGACTTCTCCAGGGCCTCAGTTCCAATTTTCTAACTGCTTGTGCATTATCAGAGGGTGCTTAACTAGATGACTGGGACTCACGAGCAAATAAAATGGGGAAGCTGCATGATGCGGTAGCTGCTGCTCGTGAGTCCCAGCCATCTAGCATAGCGGCACAGGGAAATCTCCCGGCGGCGACTTTAACTTAGCGGTTTGCTGCGTTTCGCCGGAAATTTATCCTACTTTTGCCGCCGTATATTCGCCGGAAAGCAGTCCGCAATTTACATGTTTTCTTGGCCACCATAATATGTGGCCGTTATTCGGGGGATAGCCGCAATGTATGCTGTCACAAATTAGAACAAGTCAATCATTTCAAAAAAATATTGAGGATCTATTTTATGATTTTTACCCGATCAAAACAGAAGACAGGTCTAGGACTGCCCAGACAATACTGAACATCAGTCCTTGCCAAACAGCAAACATATAGAGAACTGAAAACATTTCAGTTCATGTAAAACTAAGCTAGGACTGCTCAGAGCACTAGTTAGCATGTTTTAATTATACATGGCTGTGAAACATAGACCTTAACATCTGAATTTGTAAAATTCTTGGCATACCATATTACAAATGACCCTATACCAGCACACTGGCAGCTATGAGCCTCTTTTAACCAGTGAAAAGATGAGACATGTGGACCTACTAATCGCCTCTTTTAAAAAAAAATACTACAAGGCTTGGTGGAGGGAAAGAAGAGAAGAGGCAGACCAGGAAAATAAAGTAATAAAGACCTAGATAAAGAATTTTACTGACTGGACAGGCCTTAGGCATGAAACCATGAAGTCTACAGCATGTGA